GTATCTGTCAAATACTCAGTATCTGTCAAATACTCAGTATCTGCCAAATACTCAGTATCTGTCAAATACTCAGTATCTGTCATCAGCAGTACTTCTCATCCAGTACTCTAGAGTTCAGACTGATCCACCAACTTCCTGTCAACTTCCTGTGAGGTCTATCCACATCAATCTTCTCTGTCCTTATAATTACCTACAGTGTCCACATCACACACACACACACACACACACACACACACAGTCTATCCAATACCTCCACCACATACCTGTCAATACTAACGTTGTTTTTTTATATATATGAATAAACATCTATATTTGATATATTGTATATATTTGTGTTGTTATTCAGACTGGGAGAAAACACACACTTCTGACTGTTGTTAAAGTCTGGTTGTTTTAATTAACCCTCCATGTATCAGTGTTGTGTCATGACTGTACAGGGAGCAGACGCTGAACCAACGAGACTCACGGACGAGGACGAGGACGAGGACGAGGACGTGGACGTGGACGTGGTTCCTCTGGGAACGTCGCAGAATAATATGGAAACTCCTACTGTTACTGCGCTGAGATCCAGAGGTGGACGCTGGTCCACGGACCAGAGGTGGACGCTGGTCCACGGACCAGAGGTGGATGCTGGTCCGTGGACCAGAGGTGGACGCTGCTGCCTGAAGAGCAGACAAACACCTGCCTGACAGAACCAGCTGTCAATCAACCCACTCAGCGTTAGCTCCAAGTTAAACATTTGGAAATATAAAAAGCAGCGCAGCACACAGTGGTGTCTTTCATGTCCTCCGTTTGACCAAAGACAACAAACTGTCCTCAAATAGACCTGAGGCCGACGACTGTACTTAGTGCCAGTCTTCCTACAGCCAGACTGGGACGTTCTCCTGTAAACACTGGCTCTGTCAGACACGCAGTGTGAACGAGTGGCATTACAGGCTAGAAGAGTGGCAGGACACGGCACCGGCCAATCAGACGTCAGCTCTGTGACACGAAAGGAGAAGCTAAAAAAAAACAACCTGTGAGGTCTGTAGACCAGAGGAGGTCTGTGGACCAGAGGAGGTCTGTGGACCAGAGCAGGTCTGTGGACCAGAGCAGGTCTGTGGACCAGAGCAGGTCTGTAGACCAGAGCAGGTCTCAGACTTTAAGCAGCTTGGTTCTGGTGTCTTTGTCAGATCTGTAGCGGGGGAGTAAAGGGGGGGGTAAAGGGGGAGTGACAGGGTTTGAGCAGAGACGGTGGAGTGGATCCTAACAACATGTTTCCACAGAGGTGCGACCGCAGTCGTGTTCAGCTGCAGCTCCAGGCAGGACGCGGTGGTGTCAACAACACTGCCTCATTATTCCACTGCCAGCTGGACGGCTGCCACCAGGCTGTGACACTGAAGCCGGGCCCGGCGTTCAGGCAGCTCCTGTCGGACGGGTCCGGCCTCTCTGTGAGTCACGGAAACCAAGTCAGAGGAAAAAAATCTAACAGTGAAATGTCACAACACACAAACAGATCTGCTGCCCCCCGGTGGAAACGTGATCAGAGTGGGAATCAAACGCACCCCAGGCTCCAGTTTCACTGTGGTGGTGGGGGAGGGGGAGGGAGGGGGAGGAGGAGGGGTTGACCTCAGATGACCTCCTGCAGCAAGTAACCAGTCAACCAGTGACAGAACCAGTGACAGAACCAGTGACAGAACCAGTGTCTGACCCAGGGTCTGACCCAGGGTCTGACCCAGAGCCCGTGTGGTCTGGAGCTGCTGTTCTCCAACTGTTGAAAGGACTGTGGGGACAAACAGGCAGCGAGTTCCTGTCACCCAGAACCACAAAGTTCTGGGTGCTGGAGCAGGAACCTGACCAAAGCAGCGCCACACGGTGGACGAGTTCTTGGATCGGGGTTGGTCGTTCAGATGTTCTCGGTCCGACTGCTGGGTCTCCCCTGGTACTGACCAGGTTGTTGGTTATACCAGTTAACCACTGATTGAGTGGATGTAGGTGTGAATGTAGGTGTGAATGGTCAGATGACCTCCTGCAGCAAGTAACCAGTCAACCAGTGACAGAACCAGTGACAGAACCAGTGACAGAACCAGTGTCTGACCCAGGGTCTGACCCAGGGTCTGACCCAGAGCCCGTGTGGTCTGGAGCTGCTGTTCTCCAACTGTTGAAAGGACTGTGGGGACAAACAGGCAGCGAGTTCCTGTCACCCAGAACCACAAAGTTCTGGGTGCTGGAGCAGGAACCTGACCAAAGCAGCGCCACACGGTGGACGAGTTCTTGGACCGGGGTTGGTCGTTCAGATGTTCTCGGTCCGACTGCTGGGTTCTCCCCTGGTACTGACCAGGTTGTGGGTTATACCAGTTAACCACTGACTGAGTGGATGTTGGTGTGAATGTAGGTGTGAATGTTGGTGTGAATGGAGCGGAGAACTGTCCCAGGATGAATGAACGGTTCCGGTTCCTGTTCCTGTTCCTGCTGGACCTCTGAGGGTTCTAATTATAGAGCTGGAGAACTCTGTGTTTCTCAGAAGACTCTGGTTTTTCC